CCCCACCCCCCTGTGGTGGGATGAGACAGCAGTCTGGCAGCAAGTATCTGACTTCCCCCCACACTATCTGTGGTGGTGGTGGTGGTGATTAGATGCCCTTAAGTCAGTTCCGGCCCATAGCGACCCTATGTACAAGTGAACCCAACCCTGCCTGGTCCTGCTCCATCCTCACGCATGCTCTTCTGTTTGAGCCTATTGTTGCAGCCACTGCTGATGGCAATCCATCTTGTGGAGGGCCTTCCTCATGTCCAATGCCCCTCGACTGGATCAAGCACCATGTCCTCCTCTGGGGACCGGTCTCCCCTGACAACACATGTCCAAAGGACATGAGACCAAGTCTTCACCACGCTGACCTCTAAGGAGCATTCTGGTTGTACTTCTTCCAAAACACACTTATTTGTTCTTTTACCAGTCCATGGTACTTTAATATTCTTCGCCAGCGCCGTACTTCAAAGACAAAGATGATTCTTCAATGTTCCTCATTCAATGTCCAGCTTTCCTCCGTATATGAGGCCATTGAAAACACCATGGCTTGGGGCAGGCCCACCTTAGTGCTCCAAATAGTGTCCTTGCTTCTCAAGAGGACTTTAAAGAGACCTTGTGCAGCAGATGTACGTAACGCAGTGTGCCTTTCGATTTCTTGACCGCTGCTTCCATGAGCATTATGATAGTGCCAAGTAAGACAACCTCCTCGACCACTTCAGTCTACCCTCCATTTACCACGATGTCACCTGTTGGTCCCGTTGTGAGGATTTGGGTCTTCTTTACATTGAGTTGTTATGCAGGTCACTTGGCCACCGTGGGAGTGCCATCAGGAGACTAGGATGTCTCCTCCTCTCTCCCAAAGTGGACATGGAACTCAGCTCTACTTAGCCAGAGCCCTCTATCCCTTGGACCCAAGGGATGAGTTCATGGGTAGGATACGCATGTGACCCAGGCGGAGCCAATCACAATCTGTCCTTGGGACCTTGGGGGAGGGGAAGATGTGGGGGCGTTGGAAAGGATGGCAACTTGGCTTGCTTCTGAGGTCACAGCAAAAGCAACGGAATCCGTGTCTGTCCTTTGTCCCCATTTCTCCACAGAATCAAAGCCCTCGGTTCAGCCATCCCTGAGGTCCCCGCATCTCCCCGATCCTTCCGTATTATATGAGGCAATAAATTGGGATAGGTAGGTCTGATCAAAAGGATCTTGAATCATCTAGGGTCACAGGGGAAGTTCAGAGGGGAAGGCTCCAGAATTAGAAGGCAGGTCGCCCAGACTCGAGTCCTGCCTCGAGGCCACTGACCGGAGCTTCAGAGTGCGGTGTCCCCAGCCCCTCATCAGCAATTCTGCTGGGCCCCATCGGGCCCCACCTGCCTCCTCCATCATGCTGCCTCGAATTGACCTGTACCTTTATCTCCTGTACCTTGAAAGAAGTATGGCTCTGACCTAACTCACACACAGGGCCTCATGGTTTTCATGTGCTATCTGTAAGAGTTTCTGATCCCGTGAAATTAAATAAGCATTACAATTCACGTGGTGCATCGTGGTGGCACCTCCATTCATCTAGTGCACCAGCATAGTACACCTTGCACATCTTGGGAACCATCTCATTAGAAAGGATGGCAATTGGAAGATGAGACACCCAGCCTGGGTTACCTGGCTAAGGGTTCCCATGGGACCCAGCTCCTCCCTGCCCAGGCTGATGGCCCAACAAGAGGCTTTCCCCCACCCACTGAGATAAGAGTAGGCTTGCAGGTCGGTGTAAGATATGAAAACAGTAATGTATAATTTATCAAGGGCTCATGAGGGTGTGGGAGGGAGAGGGAGGGGGGAAAAGAGGAGCTGATACCAAGGGTTCACTAGAAAGTACATGTCTAGAAAAGAATGATGGCAGGATATGTATAAATTTGCTAGATATAATTGATGCATGGATTGTTATACGAGCCCCCCCCAAAATGATCCCACTGCTGACTTTGCAATTGTCTAGCACTCTTCCCCGTCCGTGGGAAACTTCCTGGTTGGCATACAAATATAGTGTCCCCATTCTGCTGCTGAGATTACAGCAACAGTGATCATGCATCCTTTCCTGGTTACTCAAATCTTGGCTCTGTCCTGGAGCCACAAAGATAAAAATCTTTTCCAGCTTTTTCTTCCTCTTTGACTCTTACCAAAGCTCTCACAAGTCTCAATCCGCCCACCCAAAACAAACAAAACAGAACTGCTGTCATGGAGTTAGCTCATGGCTGTGCCGCGTGTCAGAGAGCAGAACTGTTGCTGGGGGGTGGGGGGCGTGCCCGGCTCTCACCTGCACAAAGGCCGACCGCCAGGGCTTCCCCTCGGTGGCCACCCTGGGTGGGTTCAACCCCTTTAGATTGGTGGTCAACTGCACACGGTCTGCCTCACACAGGGACTTTGATTAGACCACGCCTCTCTGAAAACAATTGTGCCCTCTCACTTTTTCTTTTTCTCAGCTGGGTGCATGAGCTGCCATTTCCAGAAAAGAAGGTTAAAGAATGGTGAGAATGGGTGCTTGGGTTTTATGTGAGGGCAAGGCTTCTCCTAAGTCCCTACTCAATGTGAGTTGATGTCTTGTCTGTGGCTGTCCATGTGGCCCCCGAGGCGGCCCTGTGGGTCAGAGGAGGACTGTGCTCCAAGAGGCTTCTTGATGGTGGACTTTGGGAAGCAGATCACCAGGCCTTTCTTCTGAGGTGCCTCTGGGTGAACTGAAGCCTCCAATCTTTCGGTGAGCAGGCAATGAGACAGTTAACCCTGACGAGTCCAGCGAGGGTCACGCCAAAACCAAAGCCATTGCCACCCATGGGAGTCTGACGCCGAGCGAGCAACCTCACAGGGCCGAGCGGAAGTGCTCCTTAGGCTTTCCAAGGATATTCCTCTTAGAGGATCAGAGTGGCTCATGCTTCTTCTAGGAAGTGCCTAGTGGATTCAAACTGCTGACCTCGCCGTTAGCAGCCACACCAGGGCTGCTTTCCAATTGGCTATAAAACCAAATCTCACTGCCATCGAGTTGATGCTGACTCACAGCGACCCTATAGGAGAGGGTAGAATTGCCCCTGTGAGTTTTCAAGACTAATGCTTTAAGGGGTGGGCATAAAGCCCGTTTTTCACCCACGGAGCCCCCTAGTTGTTAGCACATCAACATGTAATTTATCCAAACAAACAGTAAGCAAGGTGCTGTGGTGAAGGTGTTTTGCAGGTATGACTGCTGTGACTGCCCTCTACAATCAGCTGGCCCCCAGTGGGGAGATCAGCCTAGATAGTGCGTGTGGGTGGGGCCAGTCGGTTGCCAGGCCAACTGAGGTTTCTCTCAGGAAGAAGAGCTGCGGTGCCTTCTGCCTGTGCCTGCCAGGGCCTGCCCAGCCTGCCTTTCCTACTGGCCCACCTGCCTGCTTCAGACACTCCCTGTGTCTTAACTCATACTGAATTCAGGAGAAGCAGATCCTTACCATGTATGTGCATGCATATGGGGGTAATTAGATAGTTGTATATATGTATATATACTGTGTGTGTGTGTGTGTGTGTGTGTGT